CTCCAACCAGCAGAACCCCCCAACCCGCAAGCGGGGGGGGATTGCTGGGGGTTGAAGTCCACACATCTTAAAATTGCCAAGGTTGAAAAAACACTGGACTAGAGCAAAGTCTGAGGTAAATCAACTCAAAAACAATCCTGAAATGAATCAACGCATCCACCTAGAAGCATCGTGAACTGCCTGTTCCGGATACATCCTAATATAGCTCAGTAAATAAAGTAAAAACAAAAAGAGTTATCCTATTCTTTTTGAAAGAACTGCTGGCATTATAACTGTGGCTATAAATAATTCTTTCACTTCTCTGTTTAACTTATGCCTCCTCCTTCTACCTCAACCTTTTCAGTTTTGAGGAAATCACAGGTGGATTTGACCAGCTGCCCAACAGCTTCTATCAGGAAATGTCCAGGACAATCCGTTTAAACAGCAGAGTAGAAAAGGTCATTCGCTCAGGCGAGAAAGTGAGGGTGTTTTTCCACAAGGAGGACGAAGATGACTCATCATTCCTGATTGCTGACTATGTCCTTGTCACAGCCACGGCAAAAGCCACACGACTCATCCAATTCCAGCCCCCTCTTTCCCATTTAAAGGCTCATGCTCTGCGTTCACTCCATTATACAAGTGCTACTAAAATTGCCTTGGCTTGCACAGACAGATTTTGGGAGAGGGAAGGAATCCGAGGTGGAAAGTCCATCACAGATCACCCAACACGAATAGTCTACTATCCAAATCATGACTTCCCCAGTGGCCTTGGGGTGCTCCTTGTCTCATATACACTGAATGATGATGCTGACTTCTTTGTTCCTCTTAGTGACGAAGAGTGTCTTGATGTAGTTATGGATGATCTTTCAGAAATTCACAACATCTCCAAGAATTATCTTGTAAATGTATGCAACAGGCATGTGATTCAGAAATGGGCCCTGGACAAGTTTTCCATGGGGGCCTTTGCTTTTCCCACTCCATACCAGTTTAGCCTTTTTTCCAAGGCTTTGTTTCAGAATGAAGGGAGAGTCTACTTTGCAGGAGAACACACAACCTACCCTTATGGTTGGATTGACAGTGCTATGGCATCTGCTATAAAAGCTGCAAGTAACATTCATCATACCGCTAATAAATCTGTATTGTAGGAGCTGAAATAATAAACCTGGTGATGCTTCTCCTTCAGGTGAAAGAGGGAAAAATTACTTCATGGTTCTTGCTGTCAAGTGGTGATATGCTTGTGATAATGGCTGATTCTTAAGAGATATAACAATAGATTTAAAAAATAAAGAGGAGAAAGAAGAAGATTATTTCATAATCCTGATTGCTGGAATAATAATGCTGATGTTTTATTACTGAACATGAATAAAAATAAATCTTCACTTTAAACACTTTTCATGCTTGATTAATGCAGGGTGAAGAATATGTGGTTGGAATAATGATGCTAAGAGGTGCTACATCTGTGTGAAGCTACCCCATACAGTGAGCATCTGAACTGCATGTGGCAGTTTTCAAAGCCTTGGACTAAATCTGCCTATTCAGGAGCCTTATGGGCTTGGATTGTATAAAAGGCTTCATTTATTTACAGAACTCAGAGCTATAGGAAATATGGAGCCTTCCATTGCATTAGATTCTACCAGATATTATATTCATTTTTGGAATATTGTGTATAAAAACTATACATTTTAGTATACACAATGGCCTCCTTCTGATTATCGACAGAAGCATACCAAATCTGGTGAAGACTAGTTAAGATATGAGCAAAATGGGCTTAAAAATGGGCAACTTTAGCAATATTCACAACCAATTTGGGGAAGATCAAACATACATACTGTATCTAGGTGTTTTTTTTTTGACCATGTCACCTTTTACCCAAAAACACAGCCTGCCAGCTGCAACTGTAACATCAGAAGAAGGCTGGGAATAGTGAATTCACCATGAGAATGCAAGTCCACAGCTCTAAACAATTCTTTGGAGAGAAAGTTCTGATTCTTCACATACAAAGTCATAGAATGTAAAAGTTGGAAGGGATCTTGGAGATCATGTTTTGTCTTCTGGAAGAACTCTGAACAATTCTGCCCCAACCTCCATAATGATATGTATCTGAAGATAGCTCTCATGTCTTCCCAGTCTTCTCTTTTCCAGGCTAAATATGTGCATTGCTTCCAACAGTTGCTCAGAGATTTTTCCTGCTGAACACCTTATCCACTTGGTTGTCTTCTGGGTGTGTTCCAGTATCCTTCCAAAAATGCAGCACTCAGATCAGGATGCAATATTCAACTGAGGCGACTAGAGAGAAATGATGACTTCCACGCTATTGTATAGAGCAGTGTTTCTCAACCTTGGCAACCTGAAGATGTGTGGACTTCAACTCCCAGAATGGCTGGCTGGGGGATTCTGGGAGTTGAAGTCCACACATCTTCAGGTTGCCATGGTTGAGAAACACTGATATAGAGAGTGTGGAAGAGAAGTACCTGTTCTGACCTACTGAGCTTAACATACATAAGTCAGCAAAACTCATTCTTGGTTGGAAGCACACAATAAATCATAAGGCACATTCAGTCCAAGTTTATATGCCAAAAGTTCCTACTAAATGACAAATGCAGACAAAGGCAAGGCACATAATGTCATCAAAGGCAACTGCATCACACATTCCAGCAAAAGGCTTGCCTTGGTTCAGCAAACAATATCAAAATAAAAGACTATCACAGAAAATTTGCTCTAGTTTCCCAGTGCCCTCAGGTGGGGTCTTAAATCCCTTGCATGTCTTCAGCATCCCTCCAAGAAGAGACAAGATACTCAAGGGTAGAATTCCTATGTATTTGTTTACTTGTGCAGAGTGCGTAGTGTATATTTTCCTCAAAGTTGATACACGACAGTAGTCCTCGCTTAACAATGGCAACTGGGACTGCCAGAATTCCCGTTGCTAAGAGATGTGGTCATAAAGCGCAATGTCACGTGACCATGTCACTTAGAGATGGCAATTCTGGTGGTCCCAGTTGCCATTGTTAAGCGAGGACTGCATGGGTCATTAAGCAAGAACATCATGTGACCATGACTTCCGACTTCCAACTTTCCGCCAGCTTCCCCATTGACTTTGCTTGTGGGAAGCTGGCAGGGAACGTTGGAAATCACAATTACATGGCCACGGCTCACTCCAACATCGTAATTGCAAGCTAGGTGCCAAGTGCCCAGATTGCAGTCACATAATCGTGGGGATGCTGCGACAGCTGGAACTATGAGCAGCTCTCATTTGTTCAGCGCCATTGTAACATTGAACAGTCACTGAACAAATGGTCATAATCTGAGGACTGTCTGTATCACTGCTCTTTTTAAAAAAAGAAATTGGATCCTGTT